ACAGTGAAATTTAATCCTGCCTAAAAATTGCTTTTTGTTATGACCTTTAGTTGCATGGTAAAATTGCACTCTGTCTGAAAATGATAGAGAGTTCTTCTCAACATGAACACTTACATGGCGCATACTATTGCTAGGGCCTCCATAAATCTTAGAGAGACTCTGCTTCATGACATGGAGAAACTTCTCCTTTTGAGCTTCTTTGACACAAAGGTCCCGTAACAGATCATGAATTCTGCATGTTTTAATTTTTCCATTAGACCCTTTCTTTTGAACCAAAATAAGACTTCTTTGAACAAGATCCAGAAAGCACTCCTCTCCTACATCTTCCAACATTTTAGAGCATGCTGGTTTGAGGATTCCCTCCGCAACCCACAACTTGGTGAGTACCTTGACTTTGATTTCAAAATCTTCCGAAAAAATTCCCATATATAGGAAACACCCTTTCAAATGATAGGGCAAATGTTTATAACTCAAAGAAAGTATCTTAGAGCATTGCTCATCATTTGAAGTTATTTCTGAACTTAAATTTTCTACAATACTTCTCCAATATTGTGGTGTTTTAGTGGCCCTTGATAGGAGGCCCCCAATCACAGCAACTGCAAGTGGAAGTCCTCGACAATTTTGGGCAATCTTCTTGCCAATTTCTTCCAATTCAATAGGGCAAAAACCTTCCCCAAACACCTTCAGATGAAATAACTTCCAACTTTCTTCGTCATTCAGAAAACGAACATGATGAAGAGGAGAACCAGAGCTGATATCATTGGCCACATTCTCAAGCCTAGTAGTTAAAAGGATTCGACTTCCAAGTTCGTCTTTTGGAAAATATCTTTTCACACTGTCCCAGGCCTCGATATTCCACACATCATCCATTATAAGAAGATACCTCCTACCCTTTAGGTTCTTGTACAGGAGTTCTCCTAATTGATCAATGTCCTTTTCACTCCTACAATCAATTTGTATTTTCATGGAATCTAAGAGGCCTAGTAGGATTTCTCGCACACTATATTCTTGAGAGACAGTGAACCAAGCACAAATGTGAAAGTGATACTCAATATATTTATCAATGTAAACTTTGTGAGCGAGTGTAGTCT